GCTGCGAGATTTGGGCGATGGCTTAGTTAGGTGACCCTCATATGCCATCAAAATCTATCAACCTTGATTTGGGTGGACGTTGCCTTTAATATCATTTGTAGCTTATAACTCAATATTTTAGATCTTTGCCCTTGCTGGTGAAAAATACGAGGACGTCCGAATTTCACGTGATGAGTGGCAGAAACTGAAACCGGGTATGTTACTTACTTCACTGGAAAAAATATTAATAACTTTGTGTTTAGAAATGCCGTTTGGCCAATTGCCAGTACTTGAAGTTGATCTCAAAGAAGTGGCGGAATCACCAGACCACAAAAATATGCCTGGCAACGAGAAGACAAGGAAACTGGCGCAATCATTCGCCATTGCGCGATTCCTTGCTAAACAATTTGGTAAATGAGAACATAGTCGCTTTTATGGAGTCAAGAGCCACTTTTTCAAAGGACTCTCACCGAAATGTCCTTTCGAAGAGGCACTCGTCGATTCGCTCATGGATCAGTACAAAGATTTCATGAACGAGATTCGCCCGCTGCTCATGGTAGTCATGGGATTCGCGCAGGGAGATATTGTAAGTTCCAAATAAGAATTTGAGCTGTCGAAATTGAGATAGAGGGCCACCATATTTATTATTTCCTAAATTGAAAGTTCAAACATAAGAAAAAAATGACTAGCTAATTTCTGCTTTCATATGTTGTTAACTCAAAAATTCTCGCCTTGAAGCACGAATCTGGAAAGGGTCTACATTATTCCAATAGTGGTTTGCTTTAGATGTCTTTTAACCAGATAGGTGTACAGTTGGACAAGGGGTCTTGCAGCAAACAGAACCTGCTTATACCTCAATATCGATTTACTATGGTACTGCTGGAATAGTTTTGCCACGGAAGATCAGAAATATATGGTTTTTTATAAGATTTAAATATTGGAAATAATGGTGGTAGTATCCGGCGTAAACTCTCAATTTCTTAGTTTACAGCGTAGAGGTAGTTTTTAAGCGTTATTGAGAGGAGGAGAATGTTGGATTTTTGATTTTTTT